TGGTTTCCATCTTTAAAATGAAAGAAAGAAACCCAAGAAAAACACTTAAATTTAGCACCATCATCTCTAAGGGCAATTATCTGAGAGAGCGGAGGAAGTTCCCTATGACGTATATTATGTTCAGTGTCAGCAAGTAATTTGGTTACTCTTGTTTTCTCATATGATGAGTCATATTAAGCAGATTGGAAATAGAAAATGAATAATCCATTGCAGTGGTTTAGTCTTTTTTTTTCTCTTTGTTTCTGCATGGACAAGCAAGCAAACGGTTGTTTCAGCTTGCACTGATTAAGGCGAAGCTGGCGCCCATGCATATTTGATTGCATGTCCATCCATGTGGAAATGAACATGAATGTACTACAATTACTGGTTATTCATCCAATTATGGGGGGGAGGGGTGGTGAAAATATACTTTAAGTCCATGGTTCAGCAGACTTGGAGATCTGCTCCAGATCAAACTATTGTTAAAATAAAACTCATGCAGGCAGCTATAATCACAATTTTGACACTAGCAATCTGAAAAACATGGTATTAGTATGTGTAGAACAAGCTCCAGATGCATGATGAAGGATAGTGGCAGATGGGAAACTTAGAGGTGAAGGGAGAGAGAGCACTTTAGATGGACCATAATTGATGCCCTTTTGCTGGTGAGCATCTCTGTTGAGAGGCTTGTTCCTCACTTTTGTCAGATGCCAATTTACTTTTCATCTTTTAAACTAGCCAGACTCTACAAAAAGCCCACAAGGACCTCCTCTGTTTTCTTGTAATTAGCTTTGAATCAATTTCCCCCCCGCACTCAATATTCAGCCCACACTCCCTTTGAATATTCATCCATAAACGTGCCATTCTGGCGAGTCTGTTTTTCATTTCTTGTGAAGCTTTCCTGATTACACAAGAGATTTCAAATGTGCCATTATTTACTCGCCCTCATATCATCTCAGGTTTTCTTTCTTTTACTGAAACATTGAAAGAGATGTTTAGAAGGATGTTCGTAATCACTTTCTACACTCTTAGAAGAAAAGGTTCTATAGAACCTTTTAGGTTTTCGTCAGGAGCTTCATAGAACATTTTAGGGGTTCCCATCACGAGATCATGTTATGGATTTAGTTTAATAACTTGTTAAACATGAAAGTATTATGCAGTCAGTTAAGACTTTTTTCCTATGGAACTGTTTTGGCATAAAGAGTTCCTAAAATTTAGTCAAGAACTCCAGTATTCTATGTTGAACCCTTCACCTGGGTATAGATAGACAGACAGACAGATACAGTAGATAGATAGACAGACAGACAGAAGGACAAAGAGTCTGAAACATCCTTTATCATACTGTAAATCTGAGCAATCTCTTTCTTACCTTGCACCAAGAGACATTATTTATCAAAGCTTATATTTTTATAAGGTAAATATTTAATAGCTTGGTGCCCATGAGTAATCATCGACCGTGGCTCTGTTTTTACACACCTACTTGTCATGAAGGTAATGGATGAACCCAAGCGCAGACAGTATGCAACACTCTCAACATTAATTTATTGACAAAAACAGGGAAAACAAAACCCACGAGGGGGCAAATCAAGACTGGAACAGGAATCACTTAACTAGACTGAGACTTGACAAATAACTAGATGATAAACAAAACAGCAAACATAGATTCAGGATTTCTCTCTGGACAATACTCTTGACAAATACTCACAGGGACTCTCACAAAGTTTCACACGCAGATAAGAATCACAATGAACCAGCACAGGACAGCAAACACAAGGGGATAATAAAGGGAACACTAATGACAAAGACAGGTGAAGCTGACTAGACAAGGACAGGTGAAACTGACTAGACAATAATGACGAGACGAGGATAACAAGGGGGCGGGGTAACGTAACGAGACAACACAAGCACATGGCACAAAACACAAGACCATGTGCTTGCACACAAAACATGATTCTGTCATGATCCTGCCTCAAGACTAGAGAAAATCAAGGACACGAGGGCAGAATCATGACACCTACTAATGCCGTGTGCTGCCATTCTTTAATATTTATTTGACTTTTTTATTTGACTTTTTAGAATTGAATTATTCCAGTGTGCTGAGTCTGGGAGACTGACCTGTAGCAGAACATTTATGTTGAAGTGCTTCACAGTGCATTTTCAAATATGTAAATGTACAAACATTTGATTGGCGTTTCATGGTACATTTATGAAATTCAGAGTTGTTTAAGACAAATGCCCATTTATTTTTGAGACTGCATTTTTGAGTTAACAGAGAACGAATGCAATGAATATGTTATTAAACACCTGATAGCGATTTAATTCCCTCTTAATTACCGTCTGATTTGGCAAATCTCAAGCATGTACTTGGCAGAAGGGCTCTGCAATAATCGCTCATCTTGTTAATGTGTGCTATATTTTATCCCTTATACTCCTGTAGTTTTCTTGACCAAATCCATCATTTTATAGGTCTAGGATTCTGAATAAGAGACACTCAGGAAGTTTGAGAAAAGTCTAAAAGTGTGTAATTGCACCATTTTAGACCAATACTGTACACACAAATTAAACTATGCACATTATTTTCCACATCCTGCTGATTTCAGTGCAAAATTAATAAATGTACGCCTGAGGGCACAGACGACTTAAAGGAAAACTAAAAATAAACCACTAAAAGGTCTTCTGACATTAGAAAAACCATCAGTGGTCTAACACTTATGCTTCATCTGTTTTCTGATGCATAACAATATGAAAGCAGCCAAGTGAATAAAACAAAAAGGGGGGAAGAATGAACAGAAGGTGCCGCAGATGAAAGTACTTTCATAATACAGTATTAGAGAGTCCATGGCCTTTTATGCAGCCTGACAGTGTTTTGTGCATTTTCCTTTGAAGATGGTGAGCAGTAATACCTAAATACTGTGCAGTGTACAAAACACCATCCACACATTCAAGGTCTTTGGGTGTACACTAGACTCCTCATGCACTTCCATGCATAATAAATCTGAGGTAAATTACAATATTAGATGCATTCACTAGCTTTTTGTTTAAAGTATAACAAGCATAATTGCATTAATTAGAAATTACTGAAATGTAAGCGGTTGTGATTTATGTGAGGTCATGAAGTGTGGTGTATGATTTGTTTTTTTTAGATTTTTTATGCTTTTACAGAAATGCGCTCCATAAATGCAGGATGTTTATTAGGTCATTTGCATTTGGCTCATTTACCATCTGCTGAACTAAAGCCACATGAATATATCATATTCATATATGCAAGAAATGGACACATATTATTTATTTAAATCTTTGATAATTATCTAAAAAAAAATCTATATAAATATATGAAAATATTGTAAATCTATTAAATTTATGTAGGCTAATGCAATATCACACAAGCAAGCTCATGCCGCAGGAAATCATAGAGGATGCTCAGATGCCAGTGTTATATAGCCAGTTTTATACAACAGTTCAATAAACAAAAAAATAATAATGTTGAGAACTAACATTTGTGGGATATTATTAGACAAAATTGCCAATTATTTTGTCTGTGTTTGCTCTGCCCAAGCGAATAATTCCAAACAAAGCCCCCACAGAGACTTGCAAGCAACAGTGTTTTGTTTTGTGAAATGCAGCATCAGTGTTTTTTGATTGAATAAATAATAATAAGACTCACTCATAAAAACGATCATATGTTCCTAAATGAATCGGTTCAATGGACTCACTCATGAAAACAGGCACTTGTTTCAAACTGATGTAACCTGCATAAAGAATCATTGAAAAATCCCCCACTGCTAAAGCACAGACTGACTCAAATAAAAAATAAGAAATCATAATAATAATATTTGTAATATATTTTATGTAAAATATTTGGTAGCACTTTACCATGAGGTCCCATTAGTTAATGCATTACCTAACAATAAGTAATACGTATTGATAGTAAATTTAATTAATTGTTAGTTCCTAGTTCGTGTTAGCTCATGTCCATTAGCATTAAATAATGCAAACAACTCTTGATTTTAAAAATGTATTAGTAAATGCTGAAATGAACATGAAGTAAGATTAATAAATGCTTTAGGAGTACCTTTTAATGTTAGTTCATAACTAGTTAACTAATGCAAATGGAACCTTATTAATGTGTTACCAATATTTTATATGTAATGTGTAAACATTACGTATTATCAAAGAATATACTGAGAATGCATACGGTGCTTGCTACACCTTTATTGCATTGAATTTATTATTTGATGTATTACATTGAATTGTATTACAGAGGGGTTTTTGTTTTAAGTAAACCTCTAATGAACACTTGAGTGCAGTGCTTCACATTAAACAAATGGACATACATAATTAATACATTGCCTTAAAATGCCACTAAATGAATACAGAAGCACAATGAGTTTTCTTTTTTTCATAGATACCACCTGTGTGTATTTGTAGTTGGAATAACCCCGTGTAGGAATTTTGATAAACAGTAAGAAACAAATGTAAACTGTTTAAACATGCTCCGATTTTCATGACCTCCAGACCATGCCTAGCCTGGGAAAACCCAGACAACTTCCGGCAAATTTAGATTTGCTCTGAAAGTTAGTCTGGCAAAGGGCTCATTCAAGCTCATTTCCAATCCGCCGAAATCGCGGCACCAATCAGAAACGTTGGGGCGGGCTTTACACGATGACGACAGCGCTGGGATTTTGAAGCAGATTTTGTAGCCTACATTACAAAGATGGATGCCGCCGTCGAACATCACTCGTTCGAATCAGCTATCGCGTCTGTTTTGAGCGATTTGAACGTTTCCTTTTAGTTAAAAACCGAGCAAAGAACAACACTCGGAGATGTTTCTGCCGCTCTGCATACGTCATCTCCTTCATCGCTCTGATTGGTTTTAGGTCTATCCGCGACGTCCGTTGGTGACGCCCCTCTGGAAATGATTTGTCTATGACGCTTTGCCAGACCATAACTCAGTTACAACTGAGAATGGTCTGGTTTTAACCAGGCTAGACCATGCCGACAAAAAGTTATGGAATTCATGTACGAATATAGCGCACAAACGAATTAGACGAAGAGCAGGCCAAAATGGACGTGAGGCTATATCTCTGCAAAGCTTTAGCATATTCACACACAACTTGGTACAAGTCATCACAAGCATGACCTGAGGGTACACAAGTAGCTTTGGCACAGCGCCATCTACTGGTCAAGAGATATGAAAAATTGGTTCACATGTTTAACATTTCTAGCAGATACATACATTTTCCCTCAGGGCTCAATGAAGATGTTCATATAGCTTTAAGAAAAGAGTCATTGGTTTAACAAAACAGTTGTGATGGTACAGAATTTGCCTTCAGGCTGTTCAGTTCTAGCACCTAAAGAAGCAACAACTGTGTGGTGAAGATTCAATCTTGTGAAATCTTACTAATGGCCATGGGAATGTCAGCTAGAGTACTAGAAGTATTCATGCGGATCATTCGGCTGGAGGTTGTGAGGCTGCTCTGAGTACGACGCGGTTTTCTTCTTTGAAATATGTTCTGGCATAGATATGACAGGAACTTCTTGTGAAGAGAAGCATAAATGAAGGGGTTGTAGCAAGCCGAGCTCATGGCTAACAAGTGGCAGGACACCTGTATCACATTGACGTGATTCTTGCTCAGGATGGCGAAGTCGGTGTCCAGGTCGCGAATGAGGTTGACTACCTGCAAGGGGAGCCAGGAGAACGCGAATGACAGCACAGACACCAGGAGGAGACGAAAAGTCTTGCGCCTCTTGCGCCCCCACTTTTCCTGGTTGGAAGGTGTAGCGGCCATGAGCCGAGTAGCTCTGTGCTGCAGGTGGCAGGAGATTGCACAGTAGGAAATGGAAACTGCTGCTAGAGGAACAAAATAGGAAAGAAGCAGGAAGAAACATGAATATATTAGACGACCGAGCTCCTGCCCGTGCCAGAACTCCTCACAAACTGCCATTTCGTGGCCAGTTGCACTCAGATCCAGGTACACCGTGTGCAAAGCAGTGGGGGTGGACATTGCCAAAGCACAGAGCCATACGCTGACCACCAACCAGACGCAGAAGGAACGACCCCCTCGCCGCCGAATAGGGTAGGCAACCACCACATATCGGTCCACCGCAATGGCGGTTAATGACAGGACTGCCGCAAACGCAGTCGCAGTCTGCATCAGGGTAACAAAATGACACATGAACTGTCCGAAAACCCAACCGCGCTCATCAAAGGCGTAAAACGCGGTCAGGGGAACACAGAACAGGCACATAACCAGGTCAACCAGGGCCAGGTTTCCGATGAGGAAGTTTGTGGTGCTGTGAAGTTTCTTGTTCAGTCCGATGTGGATGAGGAGGAGAAGATTTCCAGAGCACGCTACCAGGACTAGCACTGCATAAAGAGGGATGAAGAGCGGCTTCAGGTCCATCAGGAGCTGGAGTCCACTGAACGATGACGCAGATGCATCTAAAGACATGTTTCTCCACGAATCGTTATGGAGATAGTCCATGGTGTGATGACAGCAAACAGACACCTGTTTGAAATAAATTGAATAGAACTGTAAACAATGTATATATAAACTTTAATTTTATATACACTCATTTGGAATTTTGAGGCAAGCGTTTTTTTAAGAAATAGTTTTATTCAGCAAGGATGTACTGTATATATCAGAAGTGAAATGTCAGTGAAGACATTCACATAAATGCTGTTCTTCTGAACTTTCGATTCATCAAAGAATCTAGAAAAAACTGTTTTCAACATTGATAATAATCAAGTCAGCGTATTAGAATAAGGATCTGAGGATCATGTGACATTGAAGACTGAAGTAAGGATTTGCCATCACAGGAATAATGATGTATATGTATTATGTACTATGATGTATGAAATATGTGATCCTGGATCACAAAACCAGTCACAAGTAGCACGGGTATATTTGTGGCAATAATATGGGTTATTTTTCTTTTATGCCAAAAATCATTAGGATATTAAGAAAATATCATGTTCCATTAGGATATTTTGTAAATTTCCTTCCATAAATATATAAAACATTTATTTTTGTGAGTGAATAATAAATCGCGATTTTCTCAATGTTTCAATTTTTTTGAACCCTCAGATTCCATATTTTCAAATAGTTGTATCTCGGCCAAATATTGTCCTGTCCTAACAAACCATACATCAATTGAAAGCTTATTTATTAAGATTTCAGAATATGTATACATTGACCCATGTGACTGGTTTTGTGGTCCAGGGTCACATATGATGTATTGCCTAGACAAACCGATGAACGACATGATTAAAATGATTATTATTGATATTCATAATTTTGGATATTGCTTATAGGCAATTTAAATAGGAAGTTTAACAATCTTCTAAATGTCTTGAATTTTACTGTTTTCATGCTGTTGGCAGCTAATAATTCACCACACAAAACACACTGTGGTCAGCTACATGTAAACTCACATTTAATTTAGTCCGGGTTGTATTTTCTTTAACCTTGCAGAGTTTTGTCAGAAAAGATCTGCGACCCATTTTTGAGAACCAATGCTGAAGCATTTTGGTCAGAAACAAATTCAGTACCTCTTTAGATCTAAATGCCCTTTGTGAAATAAACACAGATCACTACACACTACAGCGGACCGGATTGGATGGATTATTTGTGTGTAATTTAAAGTGGATACGTACTCTATGTCTCTAGAACAAGACCAATCTTTTATATAAAGGAAAGACTTAAATGGCAAAGTAATCTACAACTATATGATTAAATGAACAGACCATGGTGTATTGCAGAAAACATAGCAAGTAAATCTTCTCTTTGATCGGTTCTCTGACCTCACATAAGTGACAAGATGTACAAATATCATCTTGACGTGATTCGTGACTGTGCTCTATTATTTTTGACTTCAATCATTGCAAGATTCGACACAAGAGATAGCAAAACGTTTAAGTCTTTCATCATTTTCTGAAATCTACGGTGCATTAGGTGTACCGAGGTGGAACCACTTTTATCTCTTTGAAATAAAATTCCATGAACAGCCATTTGAACGTACTTGTGAGTAAGAAGTCACTTTAAATTGGCTAAGACTGAATAACTTCAGCAGGCATTTTGGCTTCTATCTGTTAGAGGACCCTTACAATATGTTAGATGCTCAGACTTAAGTGTTCAGAGGATAAATGGAATAAGAAGAAATAATAGAACAAGAAAACACACACATCAGAGCCTGCTTATTATTTCAGCTAATTTAATGGCTTTTTCTGTTTGCTGAAAAGCCATTAACAGGTTGAAATAACAGCAGTTTCCATTCGTTCATACACCTGAACATGAACAGAACATTGTGAGACTGGCAAAGTCCTGCATGTTGCATTCGATTAGAAATACAGTGATTGAGATCTGTTCTGTTGGATCATCACAGAATGATGCTGCTTCCCACCAAATTATATGAATAGCAGTAGGCTACACCTCAAGTCTAAATGAAGAAGACAGCAGTTACATTACTAAGATCCTTCTCTCAGCACGAGAGAGAGGCAATTTAACCGTTGTAATGGTGGAGTCATTGCCCACAACCCTAAAAGTCAGATTCAATTCAATAGGCTACTGTAACTCATGAGTGTGAGATAAGCAACGAGAGCCTGACTTCACATATTTTCCTCTGATGATAAATGAGTTTAGAGGACGAAACACTCCATTGGATGAATGAAATTATAATGATTGATGAGCAATTATTTAATCTAACATCCATCAAATCCATGTTTTCAAGTTCAAAATATGCTTAGGCTACAATAAAGATACGACTGTAATTCTGCATATTTGCATTTACAGACACATTGATTTACTGATTAATCAATTAAAAATCCTTGCAACATTGTCTGATTGTTTAGTATGATTTAGCTAATTAAAACATTATTGCGATACACACACAGCATTATTTCAATAACGATGAATTGCCCACCTTTGTCCTCTTGATCACTTCTTCAGTGGATGTTGCATGATCCAAAAGCACTTAGCCTACTCTATAAAAGGATACAGGTAAGACTTCTTCACAGACTGAGTAAATCACTACGTTGTCTATTAAATGCGACCCGTGTAAATGTCCCTCTTGGAAGCTTCACAACTTGTGTAGGCTATCCATTCGGCGCGAAGATCGCCACCAGACACGCGCATCCTTCTACACGTCAATGCGCACAAGTGTGAGGACCCTTCAGTAACGACCAGCCTGCTTACATAATCCAACATTGTTCCAACACGATTTCAGACCTCATCTGCTAAATGAATGTAACCAAATAAATTAAATCGACAAAAATAAGAACCAATTAAGAACAAAGTTAAATAAAAAAATAATTTCATTAAAAATGAACACATTTAAATAAAATACAATAAAAAATAAAAAAGTCAAATCTAGTGAGCTGCCTGCCATGACACTTTTTGGACCTCATAGCTGCGTTTTTTAACGAATCGAGCATTTCTAATGTCCAACGTGCTTTCTTAGCGCAGCAGCTCGCGAGGTTTTGAGACATAACCAAGTTTTCGTAATGTATTACCCTTACAAATAAATAAATAATGAGACACTGAAAACGGACGTCAAAAGAGACGTTGACCAATGTTAGCTTTTCTCCCCAAGCTTCATTAATGTATCGAGGAAGGCAATCAAAATATTGTAAACTACCTCAACAACAACTTATGATGTTGAGGAAGAAACTGGAAGCAGAAAACATACATTTTAATAATAAATATAGTACTCATGCAATAAATAATTGTACACACACAATATGGATAACATTTTATATATAATTAAAGAGGTCAGCTGAGGAACACAGCAATAATGCTTCCAGAATAAAATGACAGGAATGCCCTAAAGTGGTGACTCATCCATATTCAACAATAGGGACATCTATTGGTTACTGCTGGGCAAACATATCAGTATGCATCACTACAAAGGTCACAAAGGAATCTCATTATGGCTCCTTCATAGTTTTTATTATCCTTTTAGATAAACGAACAGTTACTAACATGTTTAAAAACACTTAACATTCTCTACTCATGTTTAATTTAGTCCACTAACCTACATTTAAATTCAGGAGAATGTTCACATCCCAGAAATTTGATTATCAATTCATACAAATGCGTAAATTAAATAATGTAATGAAAAAATTTAATGTTTGGATTAGTGTATACAAGTTTCAATACTACAGGAAAGGAGTAAGTAAATAGCAAAAAATTCACAAGTTAATAATAAAATGCATTTGATGATACATAAATGGAATGTTTCATGATAACGTAGTGAAGTTCTTCTGGCTGTTTCTTGTACTTCTGAAATGTCTCCAAGATAGAGATTTTATTTTTTTTAATCACTCGTGTATTTTTTTTCAATATGAGGATACAGTAATGTACCTTGAATTGAAAACTGGATTAAGGGAGACAAACAACCGAAGACACCTTCATTTATCTATGTGAAACAAATGATCCCATAAATGGATCATAATTTAGTTGCTTTCCACAACAATAGCCCATATACTCTTAATTCTCCTAATACTGCAGGTCAGGTTATCGCTGGAATGTGATTATTTCTCTGGGCTTGGGCACTCTTCATCCTCACATGGCTTGTCAGTTTGGGCTGAGCTAGCAAGAGCTTCACTGTTCTGTGTGGGCAAAAGAAGTAACTCCAGCTCCTCTGCATTGATGGCCACCCTTTCAGGAGACATCCAGCGCTTAAACTGCTCCAAAGCACTGCATGAAAGACAACACTGAATAATTACATGCACACTAAAATCATTTGACCATAGAAATAAATGGTATTTGTTCAACATAATCAGAATGAATGGCTCCTAAAATCTTGACCCAAGTCCTAATTATTAATAAAACAGGCTCTTAAAACAAACATGGGAGTTATATGTGGGCATCGTATCTGGCTTAGTAGCAAAACATATTTTGCACTTGTTATAGGCGATGTTGGTTCACAGACTCAATCCAAGAGTAAGTCAGCAACAGAATGGTTAGAGCAGAATAAATTCAGTTTTTTAGATTGGCCAAGTCAGATCCTGACCTTCCCCTGACATTTTACTGTGTAATCTAAAGTACTCCATTCCAGTGAGAAATTCAAGAAATTATATATGCTGAAACAGTCTGGTATGGAGGAATGGCCCTATTTTTGTAAGAGTAAATATGCAGAGGTTATAGTCAACATCACACAATTATTCCATTAATTTATGCCTTTTCTCAGTAAAAGGCACTGTTACATGCACGATTGTTATATATATTACACTGTGCTAAGATTTAGAAAGAAGTCTCTTATGCTCAACAAGGCTGCATTTTTTTAATCAAAAATACAGTAAAAAAAAAAAACATTGTGATTGTGAAATATTATTACAGTTTTAAAATATATTTTAAAATAAAGCTGAATTTTCAGCAGCCATTACCTAAAGGGTAACTAAACCCTAAAACAACTTTTTTTTAAAGTTAATGATCTATAAGACTGGGGGTTTATTAATGCTGTTCATTGATTCGAGGACATTTGAGTTTAAAGTGTTTTAATTCTACAATATATGGTTTGAAAACGTCTGAGTGCTGCCCTCTTCAAGTTGAACGGTGGCTACTGCAGTTGAATTTTCCTATTGGATGTAGTGGTACTGCGTGATGTAAGCAGGTACCAGCTCACAACACCCTTGCCTACAGAGAGATGCAGGTCTCAGGTGCACGCCCCCGCCCTTCTAAAAGATCTGAGACCAACCTTAGGTCTGTATTCTAAAACATTCATGAATTACAACCATTTAAGTTTGGATAGTTCATTTTCAAGTCTATGCTCAAAAAAGGGGGTGACAGTAAGTAAAGTGTTACAAGTGTGAACGCTGCGAATTGCAAATTGAGATGTTTGCAACATTGATTTGTAGTGCTAGTGTGCCTCCACGAACAGGGTTGGAAAACACTGCTCTAGTATTATCCAGACCAGAAGTTAGTTATGCAGAACCACAGCGCCATATGTGACAGCAGTTAGTAAGAAATACTACAGAAATTATCAAATGTAAAAATATAACACTGCATAGCCTTCACTGTATGAATTAACATACATTGATCTTTATTAAAGCTACAAACTGATTTTCTCCTCTTTTTTTTTCTTTTTTTTTTACATTATGACATAGACAGCAGACCATTTATTAGGCTGCTGTCTCTTTACGACATAATGCATGGGTCCAATATACCAAATACTTTGAATATACTGGTGCACATGTGATTTTTTCCACAGCTTCTTACCTTCACTTTAAACATAAGTGACTGTGTCCGTGAATACTTGCCAAGACTGGCATTTTGATATTATTCTGTGTATTTGACCGTTATCACAATATTGCGCTTTATAGCTCTTTTTAACATCAAGCACATCCTGTGCTTTATTTTCTCATTCATTCATGTTTCTTTATTGCTCTAACCTGTCAGTAACTTAAGCAGTAATACACTGCATGGATAAAGTATTTACATACCAGTTCTACGAGAGGGAAAAACAGGTAGTGGAAGCAGAGATTCTGCACACAACATGGCTCTTATTAAAACACTGTCATTATTAAAGGATCGGTCCAAATATAATGAGGAATAGTACCAATATTAACAGCACGACCTCATCCTAATATGTTGATTCGGTGCTCAAGAAACATTTTTTTAATATTACCAATGTTGAAAACAGCTGTGCTGCTTAATATTTTATAGAAACCACGATGCATTTTTTCCCAGAATTCTTTGATTCTGTTTCATTTATTTGAAATAGATATATTTTGTAACATTATAAATGGATTTGTCACTTTTGATTAACTTAATGCATCCTTGTTGAATAAAGTATAATGATGTAATAAAAAAAATTCTAATTGTAATTAAGAGAGATGTTATTCAAATTGGTTATAATTTAACAATTAAAGTGAGCTGAATGATATAAGTTGAATTTGTACAATACGTGTAGACAATGATAAGCGAGGGTGAATAGTTCAAGATGTCTCATCCTAACCTCTGATCGAAGTTTCCTTCCTGGAACAGTTCTGAGGTTTGGGCATCATGGAGGAATCTATCCCAGCATTCCTTTTTAGCCTGGGACAAGGAACGGAGCATTTCCCTTGATGTAACTTCATTTGATTGTCCCTTGATCCTCTTCAATCGATTTTCTGTACAGTAGGAACATAACACGCTCTTAGAGAACAAATGAACAGGCCATATTTAAATAACATGATTATCAAATGCAATTCCCTGTACCTAAACTGGCAATGTAAATGTCCGAGTCAGCCATTGGTTCCCAGGGGCTGAAAGATGCTCTGGGGGAGTTTGTATGTGGGTTGCCTGGTGAGGAAGGCTCAAATGAGTCTGTAAATTGCCCACCATCCTGTTCCTGAGGCTCTGGGAGACTTGAGCAGATCTCAGACCACAGTTCTCCACTAGATCGAGCCGCATGGATTTCGATGTCGTCAATCATCACGTTTCTGAATGAAAAATCAGTTATAAACAAACTCGCGTGTTATACATGGGATATCAACAATCATGGGTTAGAAATGAAAAAGGCAGCCCTGTCAAGTTTTCTGTGACTATTTTCTGTGTTCATTTGCTGGTTGTTTACATAGCAAGGTCTCAAAAATCTTAACGACTGTTGACATTACAAGCTCTTAAGCAAGCCCGTATAATGGAGCTGTAGAAAATTATCAATCTTAAAACTAAAGCAGTGGTGCCTACCTTAAAGTACAATGCTCTCAACGCAGCACAGACCTAAAATTACACATTAAAAAGAGAAATAAATTCAAGCGTTAGCATGTAAATCCCATACTTCTGATAGCTTTGCCTTCTCTGCTACGGAGATGCACGAGCACGTAACCGGCAGGGATTACCCATCGAATATGATTGGCCGTCACACCTGTCCGTCAATACTTCCGTGAATACGATTGGTCGAAAAGATACGTTTCGAAACGCTACTTCCGTTTACTTCTTCAGCACGTTGACATCGGGTCGAATTTTACAAGTAAGACATTTGATCTGTCTTGACAGTTCTGCATTTAGTCTATCTAGCATTTTAAAACAATATAGTGTGTAAACTTGTACTTGAGGTGCTGCATATTGTTCTTTTTATTGCTCTTTAATGTTTTAGTTGTGCAATAAGAAAACTACGTATAACATTTTAAAGCCCAGTTTGTTGCGTATAGAATAATATTCGGTTATTTCCGGTTATTTCACTGTCTATTTGCTGTCTGGCTTGCAACATTTAGGTCAGATCCGATTCTCCCGTTTGTTGACCTGAATCAAGGACGCATGTTGGACGCATCAGTGGTCTGAGGTCTAAAGACAGGTATCCAGACATTAAAGCTATTAAAATGAGCAAACACAGTATAACATGCATCACAAATTCAATTAACGTACTCGTTTAGTTTTTCATTTACACAAACATCATGCATATCCTTTTAACAACTCTCAATGTACCCTGCTGGGGAAAAAAGCCTAGGTTTGCTGCTTTTATTCTTCCCAGCTAGGTGAGACTGCTCTTGGCTGGATTAAAAGGGGATTTATAGACTTTGTAGACCAGCTTGGCAAAGAATAAGTTGTTTAAGTTGGTTCTTTTTTCAGCAGGGTAATAACTGAAGACTCAAGTCAGGTGTATCTCAGAGTGAACAGACTGTCCGGACATGAAAGTTATTTTTGTGGAATGAACAAGAAATAAAAATGTGATTTGTTGCAGGCGGTGCCAGTCAGGCAATGCAGACTGTGCTCAGACTGGCAGCAGTAGCGGTCCCTATGGGTTTGCTGCTCTCCAGAACCATGGCATGGATCTCTAGTGGCAAAACACATATAGAGCTCATCACTCGCTTGAGAGGTTAGTGGAGAGATATATGTATAAATAGACAGAGACATAGATAGTCATATAAAAACAATACTGGGATGTTATTGTACATATGTATGTCAATACGCAGATTTATGTAATTTAATGGATATAGATTTACTAGCATAGAGTTTAATGTGTTTTTCTGTGACAGATCATGGAGTCATCCACAGTGACCGAGTGTTTAATGCTATGCTTGCCACCGATAGAGGGATTTATTCCAGAGACCACCCTTATGCTGATTCTCCCCAGTCCATAGGTGATTTTTTCAACAGCAGGCATGTTGGTTTCAAAATAGATGAAATAAACTGAAAAGAGTGCAGAGCCATTTTTCACTTACACATTGTTTTTTTTTTCTCTATAAAGGATTCAAGGCTACAATCAGTGCCCCTCATATGGTAGGTCAGACAAACCCTTCTAAAAGTAGATGTAACTGTCATATTTAATATGTTCTAATGAATGAATGATTGCTTGTGTAGCATGCACATGCTCTTGAGGTTCTCAGTGACAAGTTAAAAGAGGGAGCCTCAGCCCTGGATGTGGGTTCAGGAAGTGGATATCTCACTGCATGCTTTGCCAGAATGGTGAGTGCAGTCTTGTTTCAGCATGTCATTAAAGTTTTTAATATCATTTTTGTTTTTTTATCCCCCCATTTTTTATAAAAATAAATACCTGTTGCAAATGATCAGAAAAAGAATAAATATACAGTATATTAGTCCTATATATACAGTACCGGTCAAAAGTTTGGAAGCATTACTATTTTTAATGTTTTTGAAAGAAGTCTCTTATGCTCATCAAGCCTGCATTTATTTAAAAAATACAGAAAAAACAGTAATATTGTGAAATATTATTACAATTCAAAATAATGGTTTTCTATTTTAATATATTTTAAAATATAATTTATTTATGTGATGCAAAGCTGAATTTTCATCAGCCATATTACTCCAGTCTTCAGTGTCACATGATTCTTCCGAAATCATTCTAATATGCTTATTTGATACTTTGTTATGATCAGTTGTGCTGCTTTTTTTTTTGGAACCTGTGATACTTTTTTAAGGATTAGTTAAATAGAACAGGATTTATTCAAAATAGATTTTTTTCTAACAATATAAATCTTCACTATCACTTTTAATCAATTTGACACATCCTTGCTGAATAAAAGTATTAATTTAAAAATATATATATTTTTAAATTACTGAAAAAATACTTGTGTATAATTGTTATTCATCAAAGATTTCTGAAAAAAGCATCACAATATATATATATATATATATATATATATATATATATAAAATATTAAGCAGCACAACTGCTTCCAACATTGATAATAAATCAGCATATTAGAACGATTTCTGAAGGATCATGTGACACTATGGACTGGATTAATGGCTGATGAAAATTCTGCTTGTTCGGATCACAGAAATACATTTTAAGTATATTAAAATAGAAATATTTCACAATATTTTTTTAACAAATAAATGCAGGCTTGATGAGCATAAGAGACTTCTTTCAAAAACGTTAAAAATAGTAATGTTTCCAAACTTTTGACCGGTACTGTATATAGAATTATAAACCCATAAACCACCCATCAGTGCTTATATATTATGTTATATATGTTTTTCAAGATGTTTAACAATGTTTATACTGCAGGTAGGGCCCTCTGGAAAGGTAGTGGGAATTGAGCACATAGATGAGCTGGTGCAAGCCTCTATGAAAAATGTCCAGGCGGACGATCCAGAATTGCTTTCCTCTGGACGAATTAAATTAATGGGTGAGGGATTCAAATAATAGATTCAAATGAATTGTGTTATTTCTTATCCATAGAAGCACAAACATTGCCAAATTTACTTGTTTGTTTGCATTTTATGAATATTGCTATTGAAATTACAAGAATGTTTTAAATATTTTTTTGTGTTGTGCCTTTTTTGCAGTGGGTGATGGACGGTTAGGTTTTCCTGATGAAGCCCCCTATGATGCCATTCATGTTGGAGCAGCTGCTCCTACACTCCCTAAAGCTGTATGCACATTATGCATTTGATTTAATTGTTGCTTATACAGCCTGCAGTGGTCTGATTTAAACATGTGCATCAACAGCTTCTGGAACAGTTGAAACCAGGTGGGAGACTTGTTTTGCCTGTGGGCCCGGAGGGTGGAAGCCAAGTTCTCGAGCAGTATGACCGTCAGAGCGATGGCACTTTCCTCAGGAAAGCGCTGATGGGTGTGGTTTATGTCCCACTGACAGACAAACACCACCAGTGGCCAAGGTATGTATTAGTCCTTATGAGATGAATCAGATTCAGAACGCAGTGATTTATATTGCACTGTAGCTCATCTCATTTGTTTCTCTTCCCAGTGATGAGCTCTGATTGCAGTATGGTTCCCCCTGCAGGAGATGGCGCTGGTGCTGTGGTTCAGCAAGCCCTTAGTGCTGAGGGAAGGCCTCTCATCCCATCTCACCTGCTGCCTAGCAACACACTCGTCTGGATCGTTCGGATTCTTGACTAAAAACTGAAGTTGAAATGCAGCAGTAGATTGAAATTAATGCTGTAATTTCTGAGGTGGTGTCCCTCCCTTCACATACTTAAACTGAGGGAGCAAGACCTTCCATATCTAAGGCTTGTGATCTCAGTGTGCTTCATAAGTGGCTATGTGTTCAGCTTTAACATACTAGACAGCAAGAAGTAATCAAAATAGAGTGCAGTTCTAAATGTAACTGCTACCATGCTACCTTTTGATGAATTATTTTGATGTCTCACTGCTCACTCAGTTTACATGTCAAGGCTTAAATAAATGGGAAACAAAAATACTTTTAGCTATTGAAATTAAGAATGAGTTTAAAAATGTATTCTCTTTTTTTCTTTTTAATTCTGTGTCAGATCAGAGTCAGATGTTTAGTTGAAGTGTTTCTGTTGTCTAATCAGCTGTGTAATTTGACAAATTTAATTAATCTAAGAAATGTTGTAGTAATGTACACAATTAAATGTAAACACAACTAGGCATTGTGGGTTTTTTTCACAAATTGATAAAGCTGTCAGAATACTATGCGATCTATGAACTTTTTTTTTAATTGCCAAGAAATATAACAATATATAGCACTGCATTAAAAATAACGTAGGGAAAAACAGGAAAATACATGCATATCGTGTAAAGAGATATTAAATAAATAAGCTATGACCATTGTCATTAAATAAAAAGAAGCAATCAATTTTTCAGGCAAAAATAGTTCTGAATAATATTTATGGTAAATTTCATCAGGCTCAGAAAGTGAATAGAATGAAATTAGATTTTACACCGATATTATACAAATAATTCGTAAACACATGACGTCACAGTGATGTCATCAACCCAAGACGGAAATAACATTGTCATTGAACCGCTGGATGGCATGGCTCACGTGTGTGAAGGGGAAGGTAGCAGGTTTCAGTTCATTACTTTGCTTTGTAAAAAGAGAAAACAATAATTTCCTGAGACACTTGCATCGGAACAAAAACGTGAGTGTTAAAACCCTGGGAACTCAACGAACAGCGTTAAATGTCAGGAGAAATAGTGCACAAGTCTCCTTTAATTTCTCAAAACAACAGCGCTGCACACAGTTAAACGACATGGAGACTAAAGGGGCCACCATGGAAGAAGACAGCTGTGATACAGACAGCACGGTTAGAACAAACTGCGGTAAACGTAAACACGAGCATACGGATCAGGCAGCAAGACAAGGCCGCGGTAAGAAGCGAAAGAGGGGCGGAAAACAGCTGCGTCCCGGAGAGCGGTACGTGCCGCCTCCACAGAAACGCAACCCGGGTGTGAGTTTCAGTCAAGAACATTTTGCGGAAACCTCCTACTATTTTGAAGGCGGTCTTCGCAAAGTGCATCCTTATTATTTTGATTTTAAGACTTACTGCAAGGGACGTTGGGTTGGTAAAACTCTACTAGAGGTTTTCAAGAGTGAATTTCGCGCGGAGTCTTTGGACTACTACAATGAGGCTGTCAAAGAGGGGCGGATTAAACTGAATGAAACCCCTGTGGATGACCTGAATATAACACTGAAGGTAAGAGATCGCGTGACAATGATCACCGGTTGTCTCTGTGTATGTGATCCTGTATAATTGTTTTGTATCTCTTTTGCTCGTCAAGAACAATGACTTTTTGAGGAACACAGTGCATCGCCACGAGCCCCCTGTGAGCGGGCAGCCCATGGAGGTTCTGGTGGATGATGGTGAAGTGGTGGTGGTGGATAAACCTGGCTCGCTTCCTGTGCATCCCTGTGGGCGCTTCCGTCACAATACTGTCATCTTCATTCTGGGGAAGGAGAAAGGCCTTACTGGCCTTCACACAGTACATCGACTGGACCGCCTCACCTCTGGTGTGCTGCTGTTTGCTCGTACACTCGAGGTCTCCCAAAAACTGGACGAAATGGTTCGTGAGAGACAGGTAAGACAAACTCTCTGAATGACGCCTACATGGTTACAGTCTTGAAATGTCTGCATGCTGTTTGTTACCCCCTTCACACTTACTAAAGGGATCGTAAGTTAAGTAAAAGTTAAGCTCTGTCATCACAGAAAATTACTTTGACTCATTCCTGAGCTTTGGAAAATTGATCAAAATCTACTTATTGAGAAGTACAGACTTATAGAGGACTAAGATCACTCATTTAAATAATTTATTGATGTTTTAATAAAGAAATAAAAAATGTACTTTAATAATTTTTCAATTTAACAAATAAATACACATTTAAACATCTTTGTTTAATTCATCTTTAAAAATATAGTTCTAGTTAGTTGCATGTTACCAGTAATGATTGCATTTATAAAACATTTACAAATTGCTTGAATTTAGGAGTTGGCAAATGGATTAAGAAAAGCAATTACCCAATTCTTTTTTTAAGAATTATTATTAAATTTAAAACATTGCAATAATTATTGTTATTTTGATATTTTGTTAAGTAACATTCTTTACATGAATTAAACGGTTTCAGATGACTATATGTCAGTTTGTCAACTCTTCCTTACAAACTTCCATTGTAAGCATGTAACTGTCAACACTGGGTTTTTTGTTCATTCTTTCAATGAGGGATGAGTCAAAATTATATTCTGATGAGGATCAATATATTTTAATGCTGTCAATAAGTAGTGCTTAACCAGGAGCATTCATTTAAATTGGTATAAACATGGTTCCCAACTTCCCAGAATCATGGACATCTTGGAAATATCGTGCTTTTTTTTTTTTTTTTTTTTGGATTTCCAGGCCTGGAAACGTAATGAAAGTGTCTATTTTCAGTACAGTTTTTTTTTTTTCTAAGTGAGCTGCTTAGCTATAAAACAGGGAACCCTGCACATGATATCTGCAAAAAAATATAGATAATGTGGCTACAAATGAATAATCTGCTTCCAATTACTGTTTTTTTATTAATTTGTTCCCTCGTTTTAATTTAGTTAATTGGTCATGTGGCCACTATCTTGTAAAACTGTTTTATCCTTAGTGTAATTTGTATACCTAATTTAAAAAAATATGAATAAGAATAAAATGTTTATGCAATCTCTCAAAAGAAAAAAAAAAACTTTATCCAGTAACTTCATATGACTGGAATACTAAAAAGAAATAAGGTGTGGGAAGTGAACCCTGCATAAACTATGCTTTAAAATTGTAGCTGTGCAAATTCATATCAGTGGACATTTCATCGCATTTAAATTGTACTTAAGTTTTTTAACAATCTTATTCATATTAGAACAAGAATATACAGTATTTTTTGCTGCGGGTCTTAATTCACCCTTCAACAAATGAAGACCTTAAAAAGGTCTTAAATCGGAGCAAAAAAATCTAAAATTAATTTAGTGGCATTAAATGTTGCATGCATTGCAAAAGAGGGATATCTTTCTCAGTATTTTTTGGTTGTTTTGTTTTCCCATTCAAATATCTAAACATCCTGAAATGACAATACATTTACTTGATGCAAAATTATATTAATGAAAGATTTTATGCTTAAAACAAAAACAAATGTCATTGGTGTATGAAATCTTGTTTTTCCCTTTGAATTAGGTTTTTTTTTTTTCTAAAACCATTGTCAGATAATTCTTCTTGTTTTAATCGATAACAGTTTATTGTATCACTCAGGGGAAAAAAAGACTTCTTATCTTGTCATTTTTCTAATGTACCATGATTTAGATTTTTTTTTAGATAAAAATACAGAGGATCACTTTTTCAGCGTGATCAGAAGGGACAGTAAAAGTTATTTCCGTATTCTAGTGGTTGGGAGAAGAGGTATTCAAGTAATTTTTTGTCAAATTAATTAAAAAGTTATGGATATTTGTTGGAAGTGTTTTTAAACTTTGAAGCATTGAACTTTAACCATACTTTTGTTCTGTTTTTCACAGTTAGAAAAGGAATATGTGTGCCGTGTGGAGGGGGAGTTTCCAGAGGGTGAGGTGGTGTGTGAGGAACCCATCCTGGTAGTGTCCTTCCGTGTGGGCCTTTGCAGAGTGGATCCCAAAGGCAAAGAATCCCGCACAGTCTTCCAGAGACTGAGCTATAACGGACGATCTAGTGTGGTCCGCTGTCTGCCTCTCACAGGACGTACTCACCAGATTCGTGTTCATCTTCAGTTCCTCGGCTTCCCAATCCTCAACGATCCCATATATGGGTCTTCTGCATGGGGTCCTAATAGAGCCAAAGGAGGGCTGGTAGGTATGAGTGATGAGGAGCTTCTAGAAGCTCTTATAGAAGAACATCGTTCAAAGGAGAGTCTGCACTTGTTGGATTTGCCTGATGAAGAGGTCTCAGGAAAACAAGGGCCGAAAACAGAATGTAAGGTTGGTGCTGAAGAACACCATGATCAGATAACGGTACTTGAGTCAAGTGGTGGTGCATGTGGTGATAGTTCCTGTAAAGTGCCTCTGGGTGAAGTGAAGGCAGAAGGCAGCCAAGGACTTCACAAGAGCACATCTGCAGTCGAGTCTGAGGGCGAGATGAATGGTGCTCAAAAAGAAGCGAATTCCATCTCAGATGAAGCCCCCAGAACTGCAAAATCGAATTATTTTGTCAGAGATCATTTATGTGGCGAGTGTAAAATTGTGCGTCCTGACCCAAAAGAGAAGGATTTGATAATGTATCTACATGCATTACGCTACAAAGGAGCTGACTTTGAATACTCAACCCGACTGCCTGGCTGGGCCAAAGAAGACTGGCTTCAGGATTAAACTTAAATCAGATGTATTCATGCAACATTTATTACCAGATACTACTGTGCACGAGTTTACAGGAATGTTTTTTTTTTTAAACACACTTCGATTACTGAATACATTAGTTGTGAATTCAAAATGACTTAATTTCTCTCAATTTAAATTGATGAATTTGTTCTGTACAGTCTGTACTGTGGTGCATTTCTGTGTTTTGTCTCTTTTTTTTTCAGTTCCTTATTTGATAAGGACAACATTTCATCTGACATTAACATACAGCAATAAAACAGTCCTTTTTTGTGGGAATGCAATTTTTTATATATATATATATATAGATAGATGGAACTTCAAATACAGTGTATATATACAGTATACTGTATATATATATATATTATACTGTTTATAATTTGAAGTTCCTTCTCCCCCTACAGGTGGGTGTAATTGCCATGTTATGCATAGAAATTAAAAAATTTAATTGCATCTTATGAAGTCCAGTTTGAACCTGTTGAGACCTGAAAACCACCCCACAAAGTCAGAGATAGACTGCAGTGTAACCTCAATTAAAAATATTTAAATTTTTTATTGAAATTCTTCATCATAGTTTATCTTTTGACAACTTCAAATCTGATTTTACACACAGGCTATCAACAACAGTAGTTCCACACCAGCAGGTTTTATAATACAGCTGCATAATTTCAGGGGGGAAACAACTTTTGGCACAATTCATTCTTAAATTTTGGCACTTTGTATTTAAAGATGCTTTTTTGATTTCAAGGGCACATCCTCTGGCCTTAATAGAGTAACATTAAATCAATCTGAGTATAAAAAAGAGACACGTTCTTTCTAGCAAACTTTTTTTTCTCTCAGTGTAACAGGTTTAACTGACCTTCGATTCCAGTTTTATAATTGACATTTTTGTGCACATCACAAAACACCACTTTTTACATACAACCTTTTGCATTCTGATTAATGCATATCTTTCTAATACATACTGAACATGGAGGTAACACTCACAGTCTTGTATAGAGTTCAAATGTCATATTGCAGGTATTTATAAATCTGGGGCATTAGTGAAACATGTCCACACACTGAAGCATTTTAACTAAAGCACACTGTTGTAATTGGCCTATATTCTAATGGGCAGTCATTGTCTTTTTTAAAAGAGGTACTTTTATGGCTATGCAGTAACAAAAATAGGTTTGAAAATAATTATCATAACATGCAATAAAAGGTATTCATGGGTAAAACAGTTATAGCCACTGACGGTAGCAAGCACATTTATGCCAAGTTTTCCTAGCATAAGTTAAGCGTAAAATTACGGTATAGTTGGTTTTTAGTGCTTGATAATTTGTGTATAAAAACTGTAAATTATTTGAAGAGCTTAATTGGTTGTTGAGTCTAAATAACAGTAAAGAAATTGGTAATGATTGTGACCTTAAAATTATGGAAATTAGTTGAAAAGTTCATGGCTTGGTTGTGTAAAAGATCAGGCACAATTGTTCTTTAAGTGTTTGTAAGTTTGCAGTTCAAGGCCCCCGAAGAAAGGCTTTTTCAAAGGCTATTGTGTGTGCACATTCAGTGTATATTTACATGACATGCAAGGAATCATGCTAAAAAACAGTCTCCTCTTGAAATTTTGTAAGCACTGTGTATACTTTGAAACAATTAATTGATGTTTGCAAATGTCTAGGTCTCTTTCAGACAGATTCCGAAATGTAATTGCTCCTGAGTACAAAAGTTCAGCCCACCATAAAGTACTGGCCATGCTGTGGTTGTTTAGATTTTCTCAGCGTGTTGACAATATTGATCAGCTGCCACCTTCACCTTTTCCTTCCCTTTTTATCCAGACATCGGGCATGTCAGGTTTGCTGTTGGGCAATATAACTGGCACCTCACTTTGTGTGGTCCTCACCCTACCAGACCCCGGGGAGGCAAGGTCATATACGGTCTCCTTCAAGGACAGACGTAAAGTTTCTCTCTTGCCATTAAGGTGGCCAGGTTGTAACTCTTCCTCCATCTTAACAGCTTGAGAAACTAATATAGCAGGTTCTACTTCACTTAAGCAGGTCTCATTGGAGTCTTCGAGCCCCTCTATGGAACTCTGTGACTGACACGACAAAAGCCGTTTGTGTAGATGACAGCTAGTGGCTTCATCTATTGAGAGTGACCTTTCATTGACAGTGTCTGTAGTCTGAGTGATCATGATTTCTTCCATGCTTGAGGAAGACGATAAAGAGACATTCCAAAGTTGGAGCCCACCTCTCGTGTGGCCTCGGCATTTTTTGCACAAAATCTTCTCCTTAGATGCATCTTGTGGAGGAGCAACTACAGGACGCAATATATTCTCTTTGTACGGGGATGAGGTCTGGATTGCTGGAGGTGGGTTGCAACCCTTAAGGTGCCTGCTACACATGTCTGCCCTGTCAGCCTCAATGCTGACTCGATCATAGTCTTGCCTTGGACTAAGGCCACAGAACTGAATATCGTCGGAAAGGACAGAAGGTCTGTTGGACAGCTTGCTGGTGCAAGTGCTATTTTCGAAGCTGTCGCTCAACTGGCAAGCAAGTGGCTGCAGCTCATACTGTTCTGGCTCCCGTCCTCCGATCGGTTGGCGCTTTCTATGGTGCTGCTGGTTGGGGCAAAGAAAGCCTTCGCTTTCTTTATTAAAACTTCTTCGAACCCGAGAACCTGTGCCACAGCCAAATGCCCCATTAGCTGCGGGATTGGTGGTCCCTTGTTCTGTAGCCGAACAGGACGACAGTATATTTTCAGTGGCTTGCTTTGTAACGCAGGGTAGGGTTATGCTCCCACAGTTCTTTTGGGGGCCGAAGAAGCAACACAACGACTGGAAGAAGAAAGTGGCAAAGCCACATGCAACACACTTCACAAGCAGGAGGAAGATCCCAAGCTTCCTGAAAAGCAATGCAGTTGCGGGTAACATAATAATACCCACGCAAAAATATGCCCCAGCACCTGTTGCTACCGGGTAACCCATTCTCTTCAGGGAATGTGCAACCCTGCCCAGTCTGTCACTGTGTGGGGCCAGGCTGTATGAAATGCAGTAATTGGCCACAAAGTCAACAGAAAGACCTGCAGCTGCTGAAATAAAGAGTGCTTCCACACCATTTAACTGCCATTCCAAAAGCACAAGGAGACCAACAGTAGCAAACACGCTTCCTCCCACTGCAATGGATACATACACACTTAATAGAATATTCCACGTCATCAGTAAGAACAGTGCAAAAGTGAGAGCTACCGAAAAGCCTGCCACCTCCAATGTCTCTGAACTCAAGCAGTGCTGGAAGTCATATAAGCCTAGTTGGCTTACAAACCATCCTTTCTGCAGTCCCATTGGAGCCTTGGAGATTTCCCCATTAAACCATGGTAAGATCTCTTGATAGAACTGTGACATTCTGCCGAAGTTGAAGCTGTAAAGTTGTACAGTCTTGAATATTACAACAAGGGCAGTGATTCGACCATCCGAATCAAACCTCAGGCCTCCACCACTGGTTAAGCGCCCCTCTGCATACTGTTCTGCCACCATCATGCTAAGGCACTGCTCGAAAACACTTGGTGGGTACGGAAAGGGAATATTATTGCAGCAAAAGCTAAATGCATCCTCGCTTTCTGAACAGCGCCGTATAGAAACCCAGTGAATCAAACGTTCGACAAAACACAAATTGTCTTCTGCGGTTTCTTGGTCAGCTGATAATGGAGAATAGAAGCTCTGGTTTTGAATTTTTCCACACAGATCCCGGAGCCACAATTGGGCTTGGGGACTGGTCATATTGAACCCTGGATCAAGAGCTAAAGATCCATTACTTTTTGGATCAAAGTGGTCACCATCGTCTGATGGAACGATGCCCCAAATTAGAGTCAGCGTCATGGGTTCATCTTCTCCCTGTTTCATTCGCTCAAACATGAACTGATGCCGATATTCAGCATCGTATCTCTCAAAGGGATGGCTGGAACGGAACAACTGAGTTGTCCTGCTGTTCGAAGTTGGCAGTTTCATGCCAGGGTCTACGCATGATATGTACGTTCCACCGACTGCGAGAACTGCAAACCAACAGATCCATATGTATCGGAATTTCACTACGCCACAAGGCAGGATCTTTAAAAAAAGCAGGTTCGATGTGTCCGAAAACCCTCTGCCTAATGTCCGAAGCTTCTGCCTCAAGGTAAACAGACAGCGCTTTCTTGAACTTGTCTCCCAGAATCCACCTGTATTTTTTGAGCAGCAGGGCTTCCACGCTGCCTTTGCAACAGGGTTTGAAGACAGCTCAGCATAGCGTTCCTGCAAAATGAGGGTGCAAGGAAGCCAAACAAGAGCAAATAATGTGTTTATTAATGAAGCACTGCCAAGATATACAGCGAAGCATCTCACGGCAGTGATGCTACTTATGTAGCCTGAGTAAAACGTGATGCTAGATGTCAGACCTGACACTAATATCAAGTATCCTATTTCCTGTAAAACCCGGTTCATTCTCTTCTCAGGGACTGCTGGAGGGTTGTGGCTTAGCTGTAGTTTCCAGAAATCAACAAAAGTCAGGGCTTGATTTAGGCAACTTCCCAAAAGGACAAGGACTGATGCAAGATTGAGGAGTGGAAAAAATTTCAAGCGAAATGCAACTTTGTAGAAAAAATATGAGGTGGAAAGTGATAAAAGGACAGACACCAGTGACATCACCGCTATAAATGGTGATTTGAGATATATTCCCATTGTGAACAAAAGTGCCAGAGCTGCAAGAACAGGATAGACAGAGTCCCGTGCCAAATAATACTTGAAAAGTTTCTGTTTAATTCCCAAATCCATTCCTGTTATCGTGGTGGTGTTGTAGGTGAGCTCACGACCCTCTAGATGGTCCAAATACATTTTCATCAATGGATCACCTTTCTCCACTGGTAGAAATACTACACTATATTTTAGAGACGGGACCTTGTATTCAACAGTCTGTGGTCCCAGGAAGTCCTTGTCCACAAGGTAATGAAGAATCTCGAAGATGCTTGACAGTTTACAGCGGTGTGGGACAGATGCACAACGGCCAAATTTACTCCACTCAGTACATGATGCAACCAGGCTTCTGTCATGGTAGTAAGGGGCACAGAATCTGAGCAGACCAAGGCTTTCAGAAACATGCCGTGGA